AAAACTCTATATTATATAAACGCAGAAAATATACTGTAGCTCGTAGTACTGCCATCTCTCAGTATGCTGTAATGCCTGTAAGAAGGCTTTCTGTCTTAGTGGGTTTGTTGGTGGGCATTAAGCCGTCCTAAGGATTATCATCCCTCTGTCATGCTGAACCGACCGGCTGTCCTTCGGAAATATGTTAACATTAACATTTCCTCTTTTCCGTGAGGACGAGCAGCGGGAAAACAAAGCGCTCTTCTTCCTCAACCGTTTCCGTCGTCATGGAGACCCTCTCCGTGTACGGAAATAGTGGTCCTGCTGAAGCTAGCAACTTTGTGAAAAATCAAATTATCTATTCAGTTGGCTCTGCGTTTGCGGCTATCTGTTGCTCTTTGCGTGGCCTGGACTTGATCTGGTAAGCTTTGTAGTGATTTTCGCATTTTAGAAAAAGAAAACTTATTTGTGTCAAAATTAGCATAATCACTTCTTAAATTAAACCAAGCACAAGCATGTAAGTGGGATCCATTCAGGGGCGAATCCAGGATTTTTAAACCGTGGTGGCACAGGCAGTAACAACCAGACAGGGGAGTCCAGGAAAATTCTAAAAGATGATATCTGCCAGCTATAACTAGAATCATAATTACATAATTAATATGTAATGTCAATGTCTGTTTTGTTATGTAGAGAACCATGGGATTTAAAAATTTCCAAGTTTGTTTGTGAATCTATACACAGTTGTAATTGACTTCAGGTCAGCAGGCAGGTTGTTCCACAGAATTGAAAGTTTCCTCAACAGATTTAGATTCAGTTCTGGATAATAGACCCGAACCACTGAGAGCTTGACTAATAAAAATATTTTAAAGGCAATTCTGTGTTAAACTGTCCTTACATATGTAATACGTAAGGACAGTTTAGAGAGTCCTTACGTATGTTATACGTAAGGACTCTCGCTTCTGCATTCTGAATTAGTTGAAGTCATCCGACTGGGATAATCCTTCAAATAGAACATTACCATAGAATAACCTGGTTTATATTAATGCATGACACATTTTTCTCAGATTCAGTTTCAAATAAAATATATTAAAAATTAGAAAATGTTTAAATTACACAAAATTTTAATAGGTAGAAAGCTGTTTAGTGACATTATTAATATGATTGCCAAAAGTAAGATTACTGTCCAAAATGATTCCAAGGTTCCTGACTTGCTCGGAGTGTTTCAGAGGACAGATGATGAATATGAACAAATCTTCTGTCTCTGATTTGTTTAAGTAATTTCTATTTAGTGTTATGTATAATGGTATACCGATTTATTTTTAGGTTTAAATTTTTATTATAATAATAACCTATGACTGCAAAATAAATACTAGCTGAAGCTGAAGCAGTACAAAGAGTAATAAGTGCCTCCAATACAGTGGTAATAGAAAGCAACATAGCATAAGTGCTTCAGTCTAGAACTTGAGTAGCTCTACTTACTTTCCAGCACTGGTCCCATCCATGCTGTCATGACCAGCTGTGACCCAAAACAGACACTGCGTGCAGGCTTCACGTTCATTCGTTTTGTTGATAAAGACTGAGGTGTTTGATATTTGAACTTAACTGGATTCTTACTTGAATCCAGGCAAACAGGCAGGCAGTTTAGTATTTCGGTGAGTAAGTCCACAGTTTCTTTTTGCAGGAACAGACCAGCTCAGAATATCAGGTAACTACTATCCACAGGGAGAGAGCTCTTCAGCTGACAAACGGATCTACTTAGAGAAACAGGTGACTTTAGCGCAGGCAACGTACTCAGAAAACATCAAAAAGCCTTATTACCACAACCATAGATAACAATCTGGCCGAGAACAGTAGCTCGAGTTTGTTCTTAAGTGCTGATAAGTAATGATTAGATTAGAAATTAGTGCACTGGCTGAAGAGCAGAAAACCAGGTGGCTCTGCTAGGGAGTGGTACATGCCCACCTCAACCTGTGGGAAAAAGAAAGTCATGGCAAAAGAGAAAGAGAGTAAAACGGGGGGGAAACCCTTAACAGCTGTAAAACAATGACACGTGATCAGTCCAGAAGCACTGGATGTTTTCACAGTGACAGTACAGATGACAGTGACACACAGATACACAGTGACAGATCTGCCCAATGGCAGATCAGTCACATTTCAGGTGATAGGAATTGGGATTTCCTCAGCATTTACTTTATGCTCTGCAGACATGAATATACATTAAACCCCATTCAGTAAGTTATATAGCACAATTTGAAGTTTTGCAGTTACTAAGGCAGGGCATGAAATCCCAGTATGGACTCACCAAAGTGACTGTGGCTTATGTATGAAGGAGAAGAGGCTGTCTCTCATGCCTTACTGCAGAGCTGTTGCAGCAACTGGTCAGTCCTGTGTAGAAGCCAGCAGCTGTTTACATGTGTTTGCTATATTTATCATATTTGCTACTGTACAGAAATGTGTGACGACTGCAGCACACTCCCCTTTCTCCTTGCTGGCCTAGTGTCAGATTTCGACCTGCTACCAGTATCCTCTGCTTTGCTTACCAACAACAGAGCAGTGTGGTAGTAATGACACAATGACCGGCTATTGGCTGTAAGACGAAAATACTGAGGGATGTCTCTGCCACTTACAGGGCAGGTGGAGCGAAGTAAAGGAAAAAGGGAAAGAAGAGGAAGAGAAGGAAATGACACTTTGTCTGTATGAGTGTCTGAGAGCGGTCGGGCTACAGCATCACTATGCCAGGTAAGAGCAACCACAAGCCATTCAAATTGGCACTATTCTGCTATAAAACAATTTGCCTCCCACTTTCCTGTGCTTCAGGTTTACCTCAGTGGGTGTTTGTCGTACAGCCCACATCTCGGTGCTCACCATGGAGGACTACCCCCTGCTGGGGATACACACAATGGAGGACAGGACTCGGTTATTTCAACTTGTCCAATTTGTCAAAACTCTTGATCTGGAGGGCCTTGGATATGATGATGATGATGATTATCACTATAGTCATGGTGGACGCGTCGAAGGCAGCACTATAGTGGATAGCAGCTTTTGTCATGATAGTGACAGCATTTTTAATGATGAAGATGGTAATGGAGCTGCTGTCAATAATATAATTGCCAGCACTTTTGCCAGACCATCACATGTTCGCAGGCGACTTGATTTCAGTAATGAGACCAGTGATCATCATCAGCGGTTGTCTCATCCTGTTGTTCACGTTAACATGAGGTATGCCAGATATGAGGAGTCCATTAGGAAAAAAGGATCTGCTACCTCTGTGCAACATCAATATAGGCCAAAACCCAAGCCTGCAAATGTGACATCAAACACATTTAATCACAAACCTTTGGGTCACAAAGACAGAAAAAGAACCACAAGGAAGAAAACTCTTTATACAGAAATGGACACTGATGGATGCATGTGTAAGCCAACACCTGTTTATGAAGCAAAGAGAACAGCTGGATATAACTATGGACTACCAATGAGTACTCCTCCTGCTCAGTGCAAACAGTGAGTGTGGTCTATACTGTCCTCTACTTAGACTGAATGTCATTGATGACAGCAGGATACATAAATGACAGTTAGAAAAGAGCAAATGTAAACACACTGATGAGACAACATTTTTGATGACTGTCATTGTCTTTATGACAGTGTGTCTTTATAATATTGAGTTTTTCTACTGTGATTGAAATTCTAACTCTAATTTGAGAGCCAGGCAAGCAGAAGAGCAGCGGATTAAGGTGTGTGTGAGGAAAAGACCACTGACATGCACCGAGAGCCGACAAAGAGAGGCAGATGTTGTGACAACTCCAGGTGGAGAGTGTGTGATTGTCCATGAAGTCAAGGAAGCCGTGGATCTCTCACAATACATACTGCAGGTGAATGTGCAGAGAGGAGACAGTGTACTCTAACCAATGTCACGGTATTTGAATTACTACTTTAAGGCCTTTTCAAACCTTTCCTGTTGCTTTTTTTTTGTCCACACAGCACAAGTTCTACTTTGACCAAGTTTTTGGGGAGAAAAGCTCCAACGAAGAGGTTTATCACCAAACAGCATATCCTCTGGTGCAGCACATGCTCAAAGGGTAGAGTTGCATTCATGGACATCTTGCTAGAGTTGTACTAACTTGATTGAGTGTGCAGTAAACAGTATATCATTACACCAAAAAAAGCAGTCCCAATGCTTTAGTTAAATGGACTTTGTGCAACTTCAATTTAACAAATTTTAAAGTATAATAAACTAAATAATAAAAATTGTTAAATGAAAGGTTGTTAAATGAAATAAACATGCACAACAGTACATCTCAGTATGGGCAGAAAGTACAAAAATGCCCAATTTAAAAAAGTGAATTAGGTTAAAGGTATTCATTTACACCACATTAAGGACATTGTTTGTATCAGTGTATCCTAATCGTCTATACTTCTTTGTGTGTGTGAGCACAGAGGCAAAGTCACCTGCTTTGCATACGGTCAAACAGGTGCAGGGAAGACTCACACCATGCTGGGTTCACCTGCCATTCCAGGACTATATGCTCTGGCAGTTCAGGACATCTTTGCTCACCTGTCAGCCACACACTCATACCAGCTGGTGTTTGTCAGCTTCTTCGAGATCTACTGTGGTCAGCTGTATGACCTCCTGGACCACAGAAAAAGGTCTGTGTTTAAGTTTTGGGGGGGTTGTGTTAAAAGTGCATGCAGATTTTTGAGCTGGACGCTGCACTGGGGGAATTCATATAATCTCTATCTCACTGGGGTCATTTAGGTCTCAATTTTATGATAACATTATCATAAAATTGAGATGCCTGGATCTAGGATGTCCTCACTTCTTTATTTAGTATTTTGCTCAAAGCCTCAAAGTCTTTCTTCTGTATTTGTATCTCTTAATCTTTCTCTTTCTTTCTTCTGCAGGTTATTTGCTAGGGAGGATGGACAGAAAGTGGTTCACATTTCAGGGCTGCGAGATGTCAGAGTGGACTCAGTCAGCTCTCTGCTGGAGGTTTGCCTGATTTTCTTTACAATAAGTTATATTATTTAAAAAAAATCAGTGACATATTAGTGTTTCTGGCTTATGATCCATCACAATTCACTGGTTACTTTAGTGTGTGAACTACAGAAAGAAAAGTGGTTAATTTTAATGTGTGTGGCTGTATTTCAAAAACAATGAGAAACAAAATTTACTGATAGGTCAAGCAGGGCCGCAGGACAAATTCATCTACTTCAACACCAAATAAAGTGTTTGAGGTTTGGAGCGTTATGACTCAGGTCAGTAGTAAAGCATAAGTATATGTGAGTGTATCAACAAATTATAGCATTGAGCAGATTACTGAAAATAGTATGTAATGCTAATGTGAAGGCCCCAACAATGATCATGACCAATAACATAATAAAATTCTTTCTTCATCACTTTGTGCATGCAAATCAACATAGATAATCTCACAGTAATGACTCTGTTAAATGCTTTGAAGTTAATATTGTTCAGTCCATCAGGAATGATAATTTGGTGAAATTGTATGCAGTGTGTATGATGATTATGCTTTGAAAATGGAAAAGGGTCCTTAAAATGCAGAATATGACCTCAACTTTGAATACAATTTGGGTGAAGATCTGTTAGGTCATTATTTTTTGTAAGTTTGACTCAATCTGACCAATACTGTGGGAGGCGAAGCAATTCCTGTGAATTCTGGACAGACAGACAATGGCGTGACCTCATTGCTTCTTGGGAACAGATGAGCTAATCCACAGAAAGATTCCAAGATCTTTTCTCCCTGGAAATAATAAGAAACAGGTCCCCAGCTATAACTGAACTGAGTGTAGCAGTTGTTCTTGCACTTCACTTTTATATTATGGTCTCACAGGTGTACAGGTGTTATCTTAGGTTGGGGTGAGTCACAATATCAATATGATTTGATACTGAAATTTTTATTAAAATATGTAAGCACTCTAAACAGATTCCCCCAGCAGTTTGACTTACCAGAGTCATTTTGATAGTGTTGCTGTCTCATGGACATTTTTTTTCTGTGATCCCCACCTCTGTCTTTAATAACCTTAAATATGTGAAACATTACCTAACAGTAAGTATGATTTCTGCAATCTCCTCAACCTAGTAAGAGTAGTTTCCATCTCTCCCCTCTTACTCAGGTGATTTCTCAGGGTACAGCCGAGCGGACACAGGGGATGAGTGGCGTGAATCCACTCTCTTCTCGATCCCACGCCTTGCTTCAGATTCAGCTTAGAGATTCAAACCAGCAGATAGCTGGCAGGTGAGTGACAGGTAACGCACTTCATGATGTTACTTTTTTCTTTCTCTGAAACCATACTTGAATTATTGATTATTGATTAGTAGATCAAACAAGACAACTGTGTCGGTGTAAAATGACTGACCTAGCGTGTGTGTGTATGTGTCTGCGTAGAATGTGGTTTGTGGATCTGGCAGGAAGCGAAAGAGCATCCGATGCCAAAGAACCTGACAGGCAGAGCCGCATGGAGGGAGCTGAGATCAACCAGAGTCTGTTGGCTGTAAGCTATACAGATACGTGCTCACACACTAAGAGGCTCAACATAAAGTCAAGGATGTTCATTGACATTGTTGATTTTTATTTCCCTCAGCTTAAAGAATGTATCCGGTCACTTGATCAGGAACAATCGCACACACCTTTTAGGCAGAGCAAACTGACTCAGGTAGTAAAAGCTGACGGAAATAGTGACACGAGTATGCATCATATGGCTGATTTTCTGGTTTCTCCACTGATCCTCTATGTTTTGATACTGAATTCTTTTTCTAGGTTTTGAAAGATTCATTTGTCGGTGACTCAATGACATGCATGATTGCCAACATTTCACCTGGTCACACAGCAACGGAGCACACACTTAATACACTGAGATATGCAGACCGGTAAGTGTGCACATGTCCAGGTATAATGAGGGGAATTTAATATACTGTATTAGTTTCTTAAAATATTTATTGATATCTTTATTGTGTAAAGCCATGCCGGGTTTCAGTCCTCTGATTTTATATTGTATGAAAGGGAAAATTCTATTAAATTCAGTCTTTACAATCAAGGTTTCTTTAATATTTTCAGGGTAAAAGAGTTGAAAAGACAAGGAGGGCTGAGAGGAAGAAGAAGAAACAGAGGCAAGACAGCAGCCTCACCCAATCAAAACCTGTTCAGCAGCACCACTGGTAGCACTGTTAGCAGTAGAGGGAAAAGTCCTCCAAAGAAGCCAAAGTTAACAAGACAAAGCGATTCTTTTGGTCCCACAACTCCTACCACAAGGTCACCTGTGAGGAGTGCATTTCTCTGCTCCACACCCAAGAACACCAAATGTGGAGAGGAAGCAAATGCGAGACGGAGGGGAGAGATCAGACTTGAACATATTTCTCCAGTTAGAGGTTGGCTGAGAACAGGTGACAAAAGGCATCAGAGAAATGAAGCAGATGAATTAGGAGGGGGGAGAACAGGAAATGACAGTTTAAAAACTATGGAGAGACAGTCTGTTAGTCAGCAAAGCCCCAGGGCAGTGCTGGAGTCGGGACACCAGCAAAGCCCCAGGGCAGTGCTGGTGTCGGGACAACCAAAAGACAAGCGTGTATGGAAGGTGCAAAAGGAGGGAGAAGCTCATGAGAATGATTCATTTTTTACTGAAAGTAAATCTGACTCCTGTTTCAGAGAAGAAGAACATGAGCAACATGCTATGAAAGGTGGAATAAAAAAAGGTGGAGACAATGGAGATGCAAATAGTAAAGGGGAAGGGATAATACAAAGGGGGTTACCAAAGGCCAATGAAAGGGATAAGGAAAGAGAGAGGCATCTGAGATGGTATCACAAGCAGCTGCAGCAGTTTATGCCCTCTTCTGCTTCTTTATCCAGCCAACTCTCCTCACCCGCTACATATCCATCTCCCTCTTCCTCTACTCAGCCTTCTGTCTCTCACCTCTCCATTTCTTCCTGTGCGAATCATGGTTTGGAACTGGTTTTAGATGGATGCACAACCAGATCTGAAGATAGAGTTAATGGTAACAGAGGACGGGTGTTTTCTCCCAGCGCTGAGATTCTGTTACAAACTGAAACCTCTTCGATCTCTAATAACATTAGTGAAGAGGATGCTAATGGAGACACTGGTGGTGTTGGGGAAAACTCGAGGGCATCTTTGGAAGGAACATGGACAGGATTTGAACAAGAAAGGAGTAGAAACGAGAAGAGGAGGTCACTTGAGGCAGCAAGTGAAGAAAAACAAAGAAGGAAAGAGAGGAGGCCAGCTGGAGTGGAGAGGGGAGAAGGGAGGTGGGTGTGGATGTCAAATGGGACAGCAGGTGCTGTCTGCTTTGACACAAGTGAGACACAATTGTGTCACAGCTCTGATTCACAAGACAGACTGGAAGTGGGTGTGGCAGGACTGAATACCTCAGATGACCCAGCTGATGGAGTGTGGAGTGCTGGGAAGGGGGGAGCAGCTCAAAAAGGGTGTTTATTGTCTGCTCACATGAACAATGAGGGCAACAGCCTCATTAGCTACCCCCCTGCAGAGCAGCCCCTCTCCCCGGACTGTGAACATACCAGCACACTCCTGACCCCAGTTATGCTTAGTGCTGCCTCTTTTGAATCAAAGTGTACGAGAGTAATCCCAGAGGCAGTACAATCAAACACAGAGAGAGAGAAAGAACTATGGTTTCTTGCTAATCCCGGTAAATTGCCAG